CATGATATTGTTTATAACAATGACCTCTTTGTACATCATAAACACTGGCGAGTACTGTATTATATGAACACAAAGTGTATATACCTTAAACACTGCACTGCGCAAAGCACCTTAAGGCGCTCTAAGGGTTATCTTGAGGTTATCTTGAGATGATTTCGGGGATTTAGTGTCCCTGCGGCCCGGTCCTCGACCAGGCCTCCACCCCCAGGAAGCAGCCCGTGACAGCTGACTAACACCCAGGTACCTATTTTACTGCTAGGTAACAGGAGCATAGGGTGAAAGAAACTCTGCCCATTGTTTCTCGCCGGTGCCTGGGATCGAACCCGGGACCACAGGATCACAAGACCAGTGTGCTGTCCGCTCGGCCGACCGGCTCCCGGTTGTGTGATTTGTTTTAATTAGGCCATATTTTAATTTTTTTTAAAGTTTTCATCACTCTTTGTGATTTGAAATGAAAATGATTGAGTTTAGAAACATTTTGCCATTAACATTAGCTGAACATTTGTAAACAAAAATATGTCTAACAACTGCACCATGAAATTTTTGCCAAAAACAGGTGCGTAGTGCAAGGGCTAAGGATATAGATCTTCAAGCCTGTTCAACACCAGTTAATAAAGTAAAAATAAATTCTACACCAATTGGCCCAAAACAGTTGATTCCATAATTTCTCATATCTACAACAGTTGGTGCTATCACTAATCTCAAACTCATCCTGTGTCAAACTAAAACTCAGCTATATTATTCTGGCACAAGATGAGCATCTCATTCTGTGTACTGTACCAGAATTTACAATACATTTGATAATGAAGTACAGCTTAACAGAAAACAAAGCCTCAAAACCATCAAACAACTCTGCAAATGATACACTTTGAACAAAATTCACTCAAACTTGCTAGAAACTCATTAGTACCAATCACCACCAGATGGCCTGACTCCTGCCTGCAGCCGGCTCCACAAGTCAGTTCTGGTGCTGATGGATAATCCACCTACAAACCTGGAGAGAATTCAGGGGCCACCAAAGATCTACCAGAAAGATGAGTTTCATTACATTCAATACTGAATTTTAGGGGAAGCCCCCAGTGGAACCTTAAAGCTAACTAGCCACAGAACAAACACAGGATTTACCAAGGAGGAGATGCAACAGGCATAGGACAAAGAAGAAAACCCAGAGTGGGAGACATGGCACAAAGCACCATATGACCAATTGGGACCAGGAACATTGATTCAATACTGGGCTGTCAGAACCCTGTTAGAATGCCAAAACCTCAGAGCATATCAACACAGGACATGTTGAAGAAGACCACAGCTAAAGCCACATATTTGTAAACATTATGGGCCAAGGGTACAGTGCAGGCTGGGTAGATGTAATGACACTGCAGATGATCTGGGAAATGAGAGCCTTGGAACAGGTGAACAAGGAAGCAGGATCAACCAACAGGCATTCACTGAGGCAGAACTGGTGGCCCACAGATAATGGGTGAAGAGCCACCATCAGACAACAAATGATGCACCCTCTGAAGAAACGCATGAGACAATTTGCTGAATGGTGCCGAGGAGGTATCAACACTGAATGCAAGCAACAGCGGCTCTGCCAATGCTGAACAATAAGCAGCCCATCCTCCAAATATGGGGAGGTAAATGTAATGGCAAAAGTAAGTGTAATTATGTACTATTCCTAGCAGTCAGGAATTGTACTTATTACACTTAGTATTAAACCGTACAGTACTGTTAAATAATCGCCAGAATCGCACCAAAATATTGTGAATATTTGAGTTTACCTGAAGAGCTGAATAGAAAACCATGACCTAACCTAACTTTCTTAGTGAATGAGGACAAGCATTTTATTGCTTCTTAATTACAATTAGTACTTAACCTCTATATTGATATTACAGTTGTATAAAACTAATAAAACAAAACTAAAATCTTTCAATAAATTATAAAGTAATGCAGGATATTTTCAAATTTTGTATAAAATCTCTATTGTTTAATAAAACTAAAAAAGAAATTCTTTACATATATTTAAAACTTGGTTATATAGAATTGAACATGAAAATGTCATCCTAAAATTCTAAGTGTTTTAACAGAAAACGAGGAGAATATATGGGGAGGTAAATGTAACGGCACAAGTAAGTGTAATTATGTACTATTGCTAGCGGTCAGGAATTGTACTTATTACACTTAGTATTAAACCGTATTGTCAATTCGGAGGATGCGTTGATAATAAGAGACAGTATTAGGCATGATATGCTAATTGAGAAACAACCAAGACAAAAAGGAAAAGATGACCCTAACCAAAACTGAAGATGATGGAGAGAGAAAGAAGTGGTGAAATGAGAGCCAGGCAGCTTCATGTTGCTGCTGCAAAGAACGATGCAGGTGGGACATCATCGACTTAGCCACCTACTTATTACACAGATGATAGACCAGGTTGAACCAGCAAAACACATCTCTGGGTCAATCTGCTGAAAAAAGCAGAGTTGCTGGAAAAACATCTGGACACAAACAACAAGCAAGAAGTGCCAGAAATCAGGGCTGGGCCAGCCACCAAGGAGCCAGAAGGACCACCCCTCTTATGACTCCGGACTGGACAAAATCCAGAGCAACAACCAAACCAGTGGATAAAGTTAAATGCACCTCCACCTCAACCAGGCTAGTTGAAAAGCATCCACCATGAAAGCCTCACAATAAGGAAATGGAGGGAAGGCACTGGTTCCACCTCAACCTCGTAAGCCTGCCATGGAAGCCCAGGGCAGAGCCAAAGTCCTTCCAAATAGAAGGCTCGGTGCAAAGAGGCAGTTGTGAAGGTGAGTGCCACAAAACCCCAGCAGGACTGTAAGGCTCAACTACCTCCACCGCTGATGTGGAAGGAACCCTCCCCGGATAAGAACAAGCAATACCCTGAGGTAAACCCCGACCTGACTCCGAAACCCCTCACACACTTCAGAACTGGAGCCACGAGGAAGGGGGAGGAGACCAGACACAGGGCAAAGCACACTGGCAGGGGAAGGAAAAGAAGGTGCAGACTGAGTGCAGGTGGAGATCACCAACACCTTCAATTCCAGGTCTCTAAACACCATAGGAGCCTATTTTGGGCACCCCAACAAGCAGTATGGCAGGGGACAGAAACAATGATCATCATTGGGAAGCAAAGATGATAAGCACTCCTCAAACTTACAAACAGCATGACCGGGCTAGCCATGCCATTTCATAAGGGCCATGACAGAGATTCATAGGGATTCCCTGGGTCCAAAGAAAAACAAAGCAGGTACCTCTGCCACTAAGGTCACTCACCAAAGGAATAGAAATGAACCATAGCCAAACCACCCGGCTACAGGAGGCGACTGCAGCATGACATGTAAACCAGTGTGAACCCCCAGTAAACCCCAGCACAAGCAAAGAATGCCCCTAACCAAGGGCCCAACTGAGGAAGCAAGACCCATGAACAGCCAAAGGTGAGGTCCTCACCCTGGTGGGCTGGCCTCACAGAGATAAACTCCCGAACACACCCAAAGACATCTCTGGCTGTGAAAGGGCAATGTTAGCATGCACACAGGAAAGAAAACCCTGAGTACATGCAGCTTGAAAATACACAAAGAGCCTAGCTCACACAACAAGCCTGAATCACAACACTCGTGTGAAGCTACACTAAAATTGGAAACAATTCAATAAAGCAAATAGTCCCTACAGCACAAGTACGTCCAAGGAAGGCTGGCACTTACTGTAGCTTGAAGCTTAGGAGCTCGCCGACAAGCTGGAGTGACCAGATGCACTACAATTTGCCGTGGGGGGACACCAATGTCAGGAACAGAACTGAACTGGGGAGCTGCAGGCCAGGCTGCCTGGTGGTGGTAATCAGTACTACTAATAATTTTGAGCTCATGTGAGTGAATCCCTTGTTCCATGTGACTTGTTTGCAGTACGATACTTGCTTTGTGGTTTTTGTGAGTCTTCATTTTCTGTGAACCCTTCAGTTGTCTATAAAGCTGCACTGACTTTCTGGAGATATTTTTTGGGTGAGGTGACAGATTATAACATGCTCTCTGTGCCTCTTTGAGTGGGAGGGAGTCGTGTTTTGGCTCTGGTCCTTGGTAAGCCAAACACAACTAGCTGTGGCTGATGTGACCTTTTAGTATGAGGTAATCTCAGGATGATAGCTTCAGGGAGTCAAAAAGAGACTCCATCCAGAAAAGAAAATCACAATATTATTTTTGTCAAATATTTTTTGAACTGGACACTAAGGATTAAGAGTAAACATTGCAGACTCGCAGCCACACCCATTGGTACTATACTCTCAAAGCTGACTGCTATTTGGTTGAGACTTATTTAACCAAGAAATCAGACTTATTTCCAAACTTTATTAGGCACAAAGGTTCTGCTTTTTAGACGAGAATTAAAAGAGAGCTGAATTTAATACGCACCACAGTAGTTCCTATAAAATTTCCTTGAAAAAATTGGGGAACCTTTGATAAGCTGCCTGCTTCCTGTCCCCTGCCATGGCCACTAGATAAATTCAGGTAAAAATTCACCATATTTTATAAACTATGGAACCTTTTCAACAAAATATTGTATCCAGCAGGTAGCATGTACTCAGCAGATTAGGCTACAATAATGAATCCAATTTCAAATGGATGGTATATAAAATGGTTACATTACTTTTTCTCAATAGCCGTTCCATACTCAAGGAGCCACAATTGATATTTAATTTCGTTTCAAGTTCTGTAACTCTTTTTCCACAACAATTTTTCTATGATTAGAATATATTCTACCATTTGTGTTAAATTTGGTTTCTAAATATTAGTGTGCATAAATTACTTGTTCTCATTGAACAATATTCTTAGTCATCATGTTATTATGTTATCCCTATACTCTTTCAATAATACACAAAGGATTTTTAGTTACAAAATACTCACCAATGTTGGTCACTTTGTTTAAACTAATTTTCTTACACCATCCACATACTCTGAATTGCATTAAACAAAACATAATTTATTTCTACTAACTTTGAGACCTATGAAAGTAATCCACTTTATAACACGGTCATTGGTCCACACTAAAACGTCTAGATTTTCTTCTTCACATGCTCGTCTCCTGTCCTCGAGGGCCACACGATCATAGTTGACTTTCTTTAATGCTGTGATACCAAATTGAAGGGATGTTCTGGAATGAATGCAAATTGTCTCAATTAAAGCAAAATGTACATTAAAGGAAATTTATCTTGCAATATTGAATTTTTTTTTTTACACATTTATAATGTTTATCACAATGCACTATACATTTTACAAATAATTTTTAAATAAAAATACATTTTTCAGTGCCTTGGCACAAACAGTCGCAACAATTGTACAGAAACAGACCAATTTAGAGATAAAAATTAAAAGCTGCTATTTCTTTGGGGAGCCCCTATGGCTCCCTGGAGCTTATTGGGCTAATGTATGTTATATTAGACTGGGACATTAGCTATGGAGTTCAGACCTACTAAGAACCAGCACCAGAACCTGGCCCCTTAAGAGAAGTTGCAGGGAGCAATGGCCCTGGGAAAACCTCCCTGTGATTGGGGGTTTTCCTTATCTGCCATCGACCGGGGTTAAGCACCCAGAAAGGTAGGCATAACAAAAACCCCCACATGGTAAGAAACTAACAACAAAAACCGAACAGAAAGGTAGAACTCCCTACAATCCCAAGGAAACAAGTAAATGTAGCACTACTGCCACACCGCTCGTCCGCGCAGCCCTCCTCTTCCCGAGAGGGGGAGGGGGGGGGGCATCGGACCTCACTACGTCGACTGTATAGCACTCCAGTTCGTAAGCTAATGTCAACCGGTACAGATGCTTCTCTGACCTCAGTTTTCTATGCGGTGTTTGTCTTTGTGGCGCTCACTGCCGTGTTTTTGTGTTGTGTCGTGGCCAGGTGTTCCACATCAGTACCAAGGCTGCATGCACTTAAGTGCTTCCTTCCCTAAGCGCCCTGTGAGTACTGCCCCTGCGTGACAGGGTTATCTTCCCTGGGGCCTTCGGGAACCATTCCCATAGAGGTTCTTGCTGCTCGGCATTTGCCTCGCCCTTGGGGCCAGCTGGGGCTTGGGGCCCCTTATTTGGCCCTGGGTAGGGAGTGGTATTGTGCTGGTTAGGGCATCAAGATTAGGGCATCAAGGTGTTGCGTGACCCGCTACCTACGCGGCAACCGGTTCCTATTGCCTCTGGGGATGGTGTACTTTTACAGGGTTTTTCTTTTGTTTTTATTATCATTGCCTGGTGGGGGTCTGCCTAGTGTGGCTATAGTTCCACTGGTAGTGTTTGGTGGCCCTCTGCTAGGCCCCCATTATTGTACACATCGCAGGGGTTTTCAGTGTTGGCATCTATCCATTGTTAGTTTTGGGTGTTAACCGGTTAGCAACACCTTGTCCGGGCTTTCCGTAGCACTCAGCCTACGGGCCCTGGAAAACCTTGTCAGGGCTCGGTGGACCACTGGATGTGTCTTCCGGGTTCCATCCCGTCTTGTGCACGTTCGTTGGTTGCTGTGCACTTGTCTCGGGGTGATAGTCGCCACTTTTACCTCCATCATGCTGCCTGTTGGGTCACTGACACCTTGACCCGGAGTCTTGTGAATTGTGTTCTCTGCTTGTTCTCCAGTACTCTCCTGATGTCATGACTGTTCAGAGTACAGGCAGCATCCGCATTGCAAGCTCAGTTTAGGTTGCTGCAACGCACTAGGTTGGTTGCTCACCCGGATGCCCCGGGGCCACTCCATTTTGGTTAGGTGCTGTTCGCCCCTTCCCTCCCTGTTCCCGGCTCCTGACCATCTGCAGGTTTCGGGGTCGTGGCGGGTTTAGTTGGGGCTGAGACTCGGGCAGTTTCGGGGGCTGCCCCGTTTGGGCTGGGGACAGATGTTTTTGATCCTGTTCCTCCTGCCAAGGCTTCTGGGTCTTACCAGCGGCCTTTTCTTTGCTGCCTTTCTCCCCGAACTCTTCCTTTTCTTTAAGGGCAGAGGGTGTGGATGACGACTTTGGCCAGGGGCCTTCTGTTGCATGTTCCTGGGGCTGTAGGGGATGCCCGCTAGCAGTTCTGGGGCTGTTTGACCCTGCCTGGGCCTTCTGCTTCTGGGCAGGGTTTTTCGTCCCTCTAGTCTGCTTCCTTCCTTCCCACATTTGCTGGCATGTTTTCAGCTCTATTGCACCGGTCACGGCTCCTTTGTTTTGGTGGCCATTTTCTTTCTGCTGATAACTCCCTGCTTGGCCACCAGCAGCGCTGCAGTTTGTTTACCGGTACCTGGGTGTGCGAGCCAGCGTTTTGGGTGAGTTTTCACCTCTTTTCAGGGGTTTTATCCTCCTGTTGCCATTTCTTTGTTGTTCTGGGGTGTTCTGTCCATCTTCTGTTCCTCTGGGAAGGCTTGGGTGTTGGTTTTTACACCAGTTTTTGCATTTTCTGTCTATTTGAGTCTGGACCCTGGGGTTTGGGCTACGTGTCCCTATCTGTTTATGCTTGCTCCCAAACCTTGTCCCTCGGTTTTTGGTCTGTTTTGGCTGTTTCCCTGGGGGGGGGGGGGAAGTTCTGGATGGATGGTGTACTTTGCCCTTTCTGATTCCACCGGCAAATGTGGTAGTTTGGGCTCTCCCAGGTTCGATTCTGGGTTCCTTTGGGTTCGTTGGTTTCGTTCCGGAGGTTTCTTCCTCTTGGGCCCCCCTTTGTGGGTTCAGGGGATTTTGTAACCTCATGTGTGACCCGGTTCTGCCTTCTGGGGTTCCGGGGACTTCCTGGTTTGCAGGCCGATCTTTTTGGGTCTTGGCACGTGTTGTGGTTGTGCCAGGGCCTTGGGTTTTTGTTGTCGAGGTGGCCCTTTTGGTGCAGTTTTTGTGCTTTCTTGGTGCCTTCTTCATCTGGCCGGCGTGGTGCTCTCTGCCCTCTGGTCAGCAGTTTGTCTGTCTTTTTATTTTTTTATTTTTCGAGTGTGCGTGCGTGTGCGTGTGTGCGTGTGTATTTATATATATACATTTTCTTTCGGAAGGGGCTTGGTCCCGCAGTTCGTGGGCGTTTTTTGGTTGTCTTTCGGCCTCTGGTGGCGTTGGGCGGCTTCTCCCCCTTTGGGGGGTTCAGGGATGGCGGGGTGGGCCTCTTCACCTGCGCTTTGTCGTGTCATCTAGGTGTGGGTGTGTTTCGACGTGATCCATGTGCTCCATCCTTCCGGGGTTCCCGCCTGTTCTAATGCAGACACGGGACTTTGCGGATCTGCGGTTCTTCTGGACTTGCTCAGTCTGCGCCCTGGATTCTTTGCCCTCTTCGGAAGACTGTTGATTCCGATCTGGCTTCTGTTGGGGCCAGGTGTCTGGTTGGTGTCCCTGGACCTTCGGGTCACTTCTTGGCTCGTTCCTCTCCAGGGTTCTGGGACTTGCCCAGTTGGTGGTGGGGCTTCAGGCTTGCTACTTTTGTTGCCTTTCCTAGTTTGTAATGGGCACTTAGTGGATTTACGCATCCTTACTGGATCTTGGTGACCTGTCTGCGTCTGCTCAGGATTCGGTTTTCGGTTTCGGGCCCACCTCGACGACTGGCTGGTGTGGGCTCCCAGTCTGTCCGCTTGTTTGCTCACCAGGGGTGCAGTTCTGTCCAGATCACCAGGTTCCGGTTTCTGGTGACCTGGAGGATATTCCATCTGGGTCCGTCCCAGGTTCGGAACTGGCTGTGTCTTGTTTAGAACTATTGGACCGCTTCTTGTCTCTCCCTCCACAGGCATTGCTGTGACTGCAGTCCCGCCTTTGGCTGTTTCTGAGGGGGTCCCGGGTCACTCGGCGGTTGCTTGAGTGGTTTTGCGGGAGTCTGAACTTCGTTGCGCTGGTCTATCTGCTAGGTCAGGTTGTCTCGGCATCTGTTTTGGTTTCTTCGGGGACTCTTCTTCCGCCTCTCTTGCGATCGTTGGGTTCGTCCTCCAGCGACCTTGTGTTGGTGCTGCGTCGTCGGCTTCCTCTTTGGCGTTTTTGGGGTTCTGTACCTTGGCGCCTTCGCTCGATGTGTTCACGGACGGGTCATCTCTCGGCCGGGGCTTTGTGACCAGTGCTCACCAGGGCGGCCGGGGACGGTGGGGTCCGTCTTTCCGTTGGGGTCACTGCACGGTTCAGGAGTTCGTAATTACCTAAGTGTAGTTACAGGATGAGAGCTACGCTCGTGGTGTCCCGTCTTCCCAGCACTCTTTGTCATATAACGCTTTGAAACTACTGACGGTCTTGGCCTCCACCACCTTCTCACCTAACTTGTTCCAACCGTCTACCACTCTGTTTGTGAAAGTGAATTTTCTTATATTTCTTCGGCATCTGTGTTTAGCTAGTTTATATCTATGACCTCTTGTTCTTGAAGTTCCAGGTCTCAGGAAATCTTCCCTGTCGATTTTATCAATTCCTGTTACTATTTTGTAGTGATCATATCACCTCTTTTTCTTCTGTCTTCCAGTTTTGGCATATTTAATGCCTCTAACCTCTCCTGGTAGCTCTTGACCTTCAGTTCTGGGAGCCACTTAGTAGCATGTCTTTGCACCTATTCCAGTTTGTTGATGTGCTTCTTAAGATATGGGCACCACACAACCGCTGCATATTCTAACTTTGGCCTAACAAAAGTCATGAGCAATTTCTTTAGTATATCGCCATCCATGTATTTAAAAGCAATTCTGAAGTTGGAAAGCGTGGCATAGGCTCCTCGCACAATATTCTTTATGTGGTCCTCAGGTGATAGTTTTCTATCTAGAACCACCCCTAGATCTCTTTCATTATCAGAATTCTTTAAAGATTTCTCACATAATATATATAGGTTGTGTGGGGTCTATGTTCTCCTATTCCACATTCCATAACATGGCATTTATTAACATTAAATTCCATTTGTCAAGTGGTGCTCCATATACTTATTTTGTCCAGGTCATCTTGAAGGGCATGACAATCATCTAAGTTTCTTATCCTTCCTATTATCTTAGCATCATCAGCAAACATGTTCATATAATTCTGTATACCAACTGGTAGATCATTTATGTAGACAATAAACATCGCTGGTGCAAGAACTAAACCCTGTGGTACTCCACTTGTGACAATTCTCCAGTCCGATACATTGCCTCTGATCACAGCCCTCATTTTTCTATGTCAGAAAATTTTTCATCCATGTTAGAAGCTTACCTGTCACCTCTCC